ACCTTAGGACAGTAATTCAGTACCTCTCAGCGAAAATTACTTTGCCTAAGTTATAGGTTTAATGACCATGCAGCTGATTCTCCAAACAGAGTTTTAGTCTTCAATGGACGTTCAGAGAAACCCATTTGAAAGTCAAAAAGAAATTTCAAAACATTCTCCGTGCATTAAAGACTTGCATACATTAACATTTTAGATAACGAACACCTAGTGCAGTAAAGCGTTAAAACGCTAGAGAATTTTCATTAAATATTAACGCCCCCTCAGCTTTTCGAGCCTATTAGAGGATAGAATGTTATTACCACGTATTCGCGAAAATCATGAGGTACTTACTTCTACTTTACGAAATGCAAAACTTTCCATCGTCCTAGAAGGGTTGCCATATTTGTCTCTTATCGCCGAATTCCCCTCTCTGTATTCTTAAACAATATTCTGCAATCGAATGCTTTTAAGCAGAAATATTGCTCAGAAAATACAATACTGATTCTTAGTTAATAATAGTTAAAAATAAATTTCATTTTTTAAAATTTATTTATTTGATTGTGCATGAAAATAACAAGAAAAAAATAATAATAAAACTTTGAAGTTGAAAAAACAAGCAAATTAAAATACCCACTTATGTTTCCTTAGAAATATTAATAAATAAGGTTTAGAATAAAAATCAATAAAATTTTACATGAAAAGCGGCGATATTTTCTATGAGTTCTTGTTTTTATTTATATTATTTATTTTTTCTTCTTTTAAAACAATAACTCACTTTTGAAAAACAATAATGCATTTCGAGGAAATTTTTCAGTCGAAAACTTTTGCGTTTTCCATTTGATTACCGGTGAACGCAAATAGCTCTACATTACTTTTCCAACGTAGTATGTTATATGTAGTTCTCCTTGGCGTTTACATTTAATTAGGACTCGCATTTATACCCTGCTGAGTTTACATAAAGAACAGAAGGCTGCAGCAAAGTGAGAATTTTTCCTTATTCGTTGTGCCGGATGCATTACAAACAAAGAGAGTTTGTGTTAGAATGTTCTTTCTTTTGCATTCGTTATTGATGGTGTCGGTGCAAGGGGGAGGGTGTTTGGCTCACACCGAGTGAGGGGCGGTCGGGGAGAGAAAAGAAGGGGGCGGTAGAAGCAGATGAAGTTGATGGAAGAGGAGTCCGTTCATTGGAGGAGAGCTTGCATGTTTTGCGTCGCAGGAGGAGCCCCAGGAGTGAGGCAAGGATTCTAAGAGGCTGAACCCCGAGGAGAGGTAATTGGACTTGCGCGCAGCAATAGAATGCACGGTTATAATGAGAATCGATTCTGCCCTTCGGCTTCATGCATTTTTTAAGAATCCGGAAACTTGGGGAAAGAATTTGCTTCATAAAGCGGTCCGCTGACGAGGATTATGAATGCCTCTTCATTATGCAGCGGCTACTGCTCCGGGAAATTTTTCTTTTCTAAACTTCTTCCGCTAAAATGAGAGGTTCCTTGAACGAGTATACATTGTACTACTTCGTTTGGAAAGAAATTCACAGTTCATGATGCATAATTTGTGCTTACTAATAATGAGATTTATGGGGCTCTGTTTTGCAAGTGACAAGCAATTAATTTACTTTTCTTTAAATAACGTCTTTAAGCTTTGCGAAAGGTAATTTGATTGGTCTGATTCTAATTCTTGAAGAAACCTGAAAAACAATTAGCATAAAAGCAAATTCCATTTAAATAAGTATAGTTATTTTTCCCTCCCAGTTTAGAATCTACCGAATTACAGTTAAAAACTGAAGATAAGGCACAGTAATAATTTTTTAAATTAGCTCGTTTCACTTGAAATACTAATACATATACAGACTAAGCGTTCTTCAGTAAAGTAGGTATTCCTAAGACATTTAGGGTAGATTCTTAATGTGATTGCTATCTAGGTTCTTAATGTGATCTCTATGTAGATTCTTAGCGTAATGATTTGCACACAGATTCTCATTTCCATTCTCAATAATGTCTCTTTGTGAAATCTGCAGAATAATAGCCTTAAAGGACGACTGCCTTAAATTAAACGCATATTGATAAATAATATGTTACATACGATTATGTATATAGTCTAACTTTAAAATGCCCTCCCAAAATTGTTCCACATTTATGATAATTTAGACCAAATGGCTTAGATCTTCAAGCAGGGTGCAAGAGAAACGGCATATAACTCTTTCATTCATTATGCTTATGTAGAATAAGCATTAAAGTAGATATAAATACACTAAATTATACTAATCACAGTTTATAAAACAATATAAAGTCATCATAAAAATTATACCTTCTGCATCATTTCCTATAATTTAGGATAATTAAAATCAACGACTAGCATATCGACAAACTTGGTGACTAGACCTAGACATCTATACACAAAAATTAGTAATTTTTTTAACCAAATATTTTTAGTCATTGATATAGTTTTCCGTCCTAAGATTTCTTTACAGTATAACTGACTGAGGAACATTTTTAATTTAAGAATATAAAAATGAAGTAATTAAGTTGCATTTATGATGGCTATAAAAATTTCAAATAAAGTGGAACAGGATAAACATATTTAAATTTATAAAATTAAATTTTAGACATCTTTCCAATGAAAAAGAAAGTTAAAAAGAATTCAAACCACGCAACTATTAAAGAATTTTCTTTACGAAATGAAATGAAATAATCTTTAAATTTCAGATGCAGTGATATGCATCAGAATTATCTTAAGATTTTGAAGAATTTAAAAAGAATACTAACTGTTATGATTTAAGCTGCTTGATTCTGAATGCTTCCTGTAAATGAAGCTGTAAAAATAATTATTAAAATAAACTGTAAAAACATTTTCAAATTGAAAGAAAATCGCTTAAATACAAAAGATGGCTTTAATTATTACACATAATTATCGACACATTTAAAATAAATTTTTCTCAGTATTATAATTTACACAAACTATTTAAATTCATTTTCGTGAATCGACGTTCTTTTCTCCAGATTTCGCTCCAATCACCACAAACACTGGCAGATCTATAGCACTCGAGGCCCTGGGAGGAAATCTCCCTGGGCGGCTCATATTCAAATGATAATCTTACGAAATATATACCCCATACAAAAATATATAACTAACATTTATTTAATTGAAATTAAATAGCTAAAATGATTTGGAAAAAAAAAAAAAATCTTAAGACTAAAGAAAAAACAACTTACATCTAGGAGACAAACATATACTTAAAAAAGGCTTATTAATATGCCAAAAAGTGCTTTTAACATTCCTATCAATGAAAACAGTTAAAAGCTGTTTTTATGAGCTTTGACTTTATTTTACGATAGCTTCTTCATTTTGTTTTCAGCTATTGCATTTTCAAAGGAAAGGACTGTCAAATCTTTAAGTCTTACTAGGCTCATTATTGATCGAAGATAGCTTTTAATCAACCTCAACTTTGAAAAGCTTATCTTCAAGAAACACGTTAAACACGCACTGCTAAAAAAAAGTTTTAGTGCTAAACATAAGTTAGGGATTGGTTCTTGGAAATCCATTTCCGCAATAAATATTTTCAAAACAGACCACATTTTAGCTTCTTCTTTCTTTATATTCCTGCATACAGATACATATACTTAAAAACTTTAAGTTTCTTCGGAGGCTCTTCCTAATCAGAGGCTCAGATCGGTCCGCGTCCCCTTTCTCCGACGCCTCAGCCTCAAACAGCAGAGAAACCTATGTGAAATTACATGCCTATAGGTGAATCTTTGAAGACAATGATACTTCGTTAAGTAGTTATCTAGATTTTAAGGAAATATTTTGACTTTATGCGATGGATTGGTTTTTTGGAGGATGAGAATCTAATGCTTCGTTTCTTTCCAGGTTAGGAAAACGATTGTTTCGTAACAGATGTAATGCTTATTTTTGGGAGTGATACTCATATGTTCAGATTTTCAAGGTGCAACGTAATGTGGTTGATAAAACTTGAATCCAAAATTTTTGAAGAAATTTTCTTAAACAAATCTTCAGTAATTTCGTAAATATATTTTTTCAAGAAGAGACAGTATTTTCTAAAGTATTAATCATAAAATTTTAAACTTGTATTTTTATTTACATTACATGAAAATAAACAAGGATAAAATTTGAAAGCCACTTCCAAGAAGGAAATAAGTTTTATGCCTCATATTTCTAGCTGACTAAGTTTTAGGATCATTCATTTTAAGTTATAGGTTGCTGACATAAATTTTATAAAACTTATTTTTTTATGCCTGAAACTGTCTGTACTAAAAAACTAAACTCAGTGACGTAACAGCCCTAATGGGCCAAGGCTGGCAGTGCACGAAATCTGCTTTCTTGACCGTGGGCCCCCCCGGGGTGCGTAAGCATATGCCCTGAACAAGTGGTCGGCTTCTCGCAGTACCCCCCAGTGTTTAGTCCCCAAACGAACTTGGCACTCATTTTATCGGCCCCAGTGACGACAATCAAAGGCTGAGTCGACCTTGCCCAGCCCGGGAATCGAATCCCGGACCTGTGGTGCTGCTGCGCAATGCGCTAGCTACTGCGCCAGTCTGTACACATAAGTTATATGTAGCTGTAAAAGTTTGATAGCATAAATATGAGGATTGTGTAACTATAGAAGAATATATATATAGAATTTAAAATAAGGCAAAAAGGCAACCTCAGATTAGCTCAGTTTCGAATAAAACTTATAAATCTCCCTCCTTCCAGCATGTCATCGTGGTGTAACGATAGCACATTCAGAGCGTATTCGAGAGGTCCAGGTTCAAACCCTTGCGAAGGCTTTACTCCCTTTTCACATCTTCTGCTTCAAAATAACCTAATGTTACTACAAACTCAGAGAAGAAATAAATATTATTTGAAATCCAGTCTAGTTTAAATTTGCTTTTACCATACTCAATAATTTCATTGAAATTTAAAGCTAAAATGATACATACATAAAGGTTTCCATTTTGTTATAATTTGCCTTAAAATTTTATTTAAATACATTTTAATAAAATATATGTATGCCTTTTTAGGTTATTAAAGATAACCCAAAGTTTCTAACAATGGATAACGAGGAAACCTGAGACTGACAACATTAATTAACGAGCTTATTTCCTGTCAAGCAGAATGAAAACAAACCAAGCTACTGTTGGAATCAGGAACAGTTTTGCGAAGAGATTCATCATTACTGTGTCACGCACAGTAAGGAAATGTAACTATTATTATTATTACTACCATTAAAATTTCCATAGGTCTAAGTATACAATGCAGTGCATAAATCATACGAATCAATAATGCATTTGTAAAAATAGGAACAAGTAATTTTCTTTTTAATTTCTTCATTAATTAGAAATTCAATCAAACACTTATTTGAAATACAGTTTGATGAGTCTTTTAAATATTGAGGAAATTATAATTTTTGCATCTCCATGTTAGAAAAACTTTAACAGACCTCTAATTTTGCGGTCTTTTTTTTTAAATGCATCTGCTTAAGACATTTATAAATACCAAAATAAAGCCACAAGTCAAGTGTGAGGTGATTCATCTGATGAATAGTATTTTATACTGACTGACAGTACTTTTATATTACTGTTTGATAGGAAATGTAGTTTCATTTTATTGATGTAACTTTGTTTATTATTAAAAAAAAAACAGATCAAATAAAATTTCTTATATTTTCTTTTAGCTGCATTAAGCAATCATTGAAATCAAATATTCTTTTTACACTTAACTGTCCAGGCAGTATTTTTATATCGTAATGCATACGTATCAGCCACCCAGACAAAAAAGTGGTTATTGACACGGACTCCCGCCCCGAAGGTCCCGGGCTCGAATCTCGGAGAAAGCAAGAATGTAAATTGTCTCTTCCTTCATTGGAGGCAAAGGTGGCTAATCTATTAAGTGCCTGTACAATAAAGTAACTATCACTTCCGGTCTTAGTAGTGGTCAACGCCTATAATGGCTAGTGCCGACTATTGGAAAAAATGTATTTGTATCTTGGTAATTCGAAATGTAGTAATTGATGATTCCAATTAAATTAAAATTTTAGCTTTTTATGTATTTTTCTAAAGTTATATTAGTGCCATTCTCGTCTGCATTTTATTTTTCTATTTGCGTAATATATAGCATTAATAATAATGGTTTGAAAATGCAAATGCAAATCATTTGAACGTGCATTTCTATAAACTGGAAACCTTCATCTTTCCCAACATGTATTACGAAGAAGTAAAATAGTCCTAAAAACGGAGAAAAAAGACAAGATATATTACCAGCTTCGTACTGAATATAATTTAACAAAGATTTGCTTCGAAAGCAAGAAAGAAAATCAACATTGCTGAAGTTTTGAAAAATGCTACAACACTCATTTACTCATTAGATGAAATGAGCTTAAAACTTATAATGTTAAAAAATTCTTTTACATATAGAATTATTAACACGTAATTTAGGCATTAAGACAAAGTTTCATGCATCAAAAATATTGTTGCCATTAATTATTACATCATTTAAACGCGACCAGCATATTCTCTGCGTAAGGTTGAGTGTTTCACTTATATATCTTGTTAGCGACTACGAACAGATAACCTGTTAGATGCAAAAATTTGTTTCACCAATAAATTTTTGTATCTAAAGTATGACCAAAAATTTGCTTTACGAACTATTACAAATTACTATTTTTGACAAATGGCGTAAAAATACACCTAAATTTAACCTTATTAAAGCAGTTGGCCACACTGGTCATAAACTACAATGATATTTCTATTAATAATCCTCTTTTATTCTAAAATAATTCCAAACATAAAAAGCTTTCAGATAAGCAAAAGAAGCATATCATCACAGGTGACTTAGATATTGTACAAAATTTCTCATTCATCAAAAATATTCTAGTTGTCATTCATTTTTATTACATCAGCAAAAACAGTAGTAAATGCGAACATTCCAGGCTACTATAGTAATTCATTTAGAAATACAGTTTCAACAAAATTTTATTATTTTGAAAAACTAAAATGATTTATAGAATTCAGTAAATTAACTCCCTACTTTAACAAAACATTTCTTAACAATTAGACAAAAATCTACAGTAAAATTTAGAGTATTAATACTAGTAGACTGATTTAATTGCAGCTCAAAGCATGATACTTTTCAGAAAATAATTCTATTATAATTATACAAAGAAGGAAAAGAACAAACTCTGAAATCTTCAAACTTGCATTCATAATTATTGACAATATTACTGTTATTAATAACTTTAACAAAATTGAGAACCATAACATGTACCTTTCTTTTTAAATTACATAATTTTTGTATTTGAAAAAATTCCATTAATTATTTAGATCTTGAAATCCGAAATTGTAAGGAAATCCCACTTTTCGACAACAGATTATTTTTGTTTAATATTATTAAGGAAATACGCAATCCATATATTATATTGATTTCCATAAAGAACTTCAGATTTTAATTTTATTGTGCCAATAAAAGCGATATACCTATTAAATTTATAAATTAACCATCCTACATAGCTGCTGTTGTCTGCCTAATATTCGTTTCCTATAACAATTATATAATAAAACAGTTCTTACAACAATTAGCTCAAAGTAATAGTTACAACTAAACTTTTGTATACAACTTAATTTCCACAGCCATGTTAAGCTTAACTAGTGAACATACTTTACATCATCTGCTAATCAGTATTTTTCTCTTTTCCTGATTCTCGTTATTGTCCTTTAAATATCTCTATTTTAAAGAAATTTATTTAGCTACTTTCAAACTTCTGTTTCTCCGTTGCGTAGCTTCTGACTCCTCCGCCATGTTGCATTAGAGGAAAATGTAATTTTGAAGTTGCTTTTTAAATTCGATCCTGCTTGAGACTTAAAATCACAATTATAAATTGCAAAAAAAATATATATATTCTCCATTTTTCTTTCATAACACCACAATCATAGCTTATAAAGGGTTTTGTGATTTAGTTCTCTCCTCTGTTCTGTCGGTGTAAACAACAGCATCATTCATCTTACATTTTCACTTCGGCAAAATTCCAATACAAGGCTTGTTCGCACATTTTTAGATGATTTTCATTGTAGTTACAAAAATATTTTAACTACAATTTTTGTGTTTTAAATGTTCCATATGCTAACCCTGATTCCTTACTATTTTCTGCACCGTCATTTCGAAGACAATAAAGCTTTTTTAGTAGCGGAAGAGGTGCTTTATATCAATCCTTTTGAACAGCTTTCCAAAGTTCTAGGAGGGTTATAGGTCGAGGTTTGAACAATCTGCTTTTTCAAAGTCCAAAAGCGCAAAACCACATGGGGGATACATCAAGAGATTTTTGTAGGAATATGAGTGAAGGTTATGACATAGATACCCGTTTCTCTTTTTTTTTTTTTTTTTTTTTCTCCAGGAAATTAGCAGTAGATTTGGAGTGTGGCTGCTTGCTTTGTCTTGACCCAGTTCTATTGATTGACGACACTGTGGGTAAAGGGATGGTATTTCACATTTGAAAATTGGGTATAAAATATATTTCTGATAATATATGGAGTTGATCTGAGCATTTTCTCCTCGCTCTTTATTTTTAATATACCGTTATATGAAAAACCAGCAGCAATCATAAATCCCTTTAAAAAACTTTCTTTAGATTCTTTGAACTATGTTTTAAGATTGTTTTCTCCTCTTTGTTGATAAAAAAATGGATCTCTTTTTATTACAGTTATTTAAATATACCCAAGATTCATCTATTGTGATAATATTTTTCCATTTTTATCCGAATAATTGTTTCTCATGGTGAATTCTGCAGCACGTTCGGCTTTCGGTGATACGTTGTGGAGAAAGACGATGCATATTACGTTTTATCGCTTTTTAAAGATTCACATCAGCATAAATCACTTTGCCTACAGTTACAGTCACTTAGTTACACTGAGCATTTTAATGATTATGCAATTGTACTTCGACTTCAAAGATTTTCTTTTAACATTAAAGTTTTTATCATTGCAGCATTCGAAACATTCCGTTTGTTCCTTGGATACGTATCTTGAACAAATTTTCTCCTTGAAGCCAAACTTTGAAGTTTTTTTTTTTTTTTTTCTTTTCTTACTGACAATATTATATATCGTTGCTTTAGATACCTAAAAATCATGGATTTAGCAGAAATTTTTAACAACTAAATAGGAATGATTTTTTTTCAGAAAGAGCATAAAAGTAGCCTTCCGTCCACTGAATTTTTTAAAAGCGTCATTTTGCATGAAAACAAATTGTTCAAGCAGGCGATTTTTTATAGCAAACAAAGTCGTCTAAAATCTGAGCGAAAAAGCCTCTGTACCTCTAATTATTATTTTTCCAACTGCAATTTTTTACTATATTAATCTCGCTCAACGTTTTACTTTTTGTTTCTTTAGTCCCAAATTTTGTCATATTATAAATTTTCTTTAAAATTATTAACTTTATACAGTTTTCAAAATATGTATATGTTATATAAGTCAATTTCTTTTCCATTAAGTTTAGTTCTACACCGCTTTTCACCACTTAATAGATGTTTATACAGCACTGCGATTGTTTTGAATTTTTTTATTTGAAAACATACAGACTTCCCGTGCAACACACACGGGGCTTACAGAAGTAAGTTGACAAAAACTTTAATAAAACGAATAAAAGCAGAGAACAGCAGTCTGAACTTCACGAAAACAGATAACTTCACTGGCCAAGTCACTCCGAACAATTTCAAATAATTCTGCAAGCATTATCTATAGCCATCAAATGCAAGGCATGAGAAAATCAAATATTCCACATCCTGAGATACTCTTTTTGAAAATCCACATAAACTGTTTGATCTTAGATTAAAACGAAACAGGTAACTTGCAAATTTACCGTGACCATAAAAACTGTGAAACTTATAGAGAGGAAAGCCTCGAAATGCAGTCTATGGTAAATAGAAGGAAAGAACTTTTTGGTGACCTCAGCATTACAAGATGAAATAGATTCCTCATTCCACTTAGTTAAAAGCTTTTTTTAATGAAAGGACTTCCAATAACTCTTTGTAATGCTCATGTTGATGTCAATTTAGGCTATTTTTCATTCGCTTTATAATGACTTTGAGATTGTATTATTTTTAAAAAATTAAATTGTCATATTTGCTTGCTCATTTTCTAATTTTTATATATTCGCAAGCTGCAACTTTTATCTTATCATTAAATAAGCAATCAATAATAATGTGTCAGACAA